TAGGTTGGAGGCCATTGCTGTTAGGATGGAGGCCAGTGCTATTAGGTGGGAGGCAATTGCTATTAGGTTTGAGGCGATTGCGATTAGGTTTGAGGCCATTGCTATTGGGTTGGAGGCGATTGCTATTAGGTTGGAGGCCGTTGCCGTTAGGATGGAGGCCAGTGCTATTAGCTTGGAAGCCATTACTATTAGGTTGGAGGCCATTGCTATTAGGATGGAGGTCATCGCTAGCAGGTTGGAGGCCATCTCTTCTAGGTTGGAGGCCGTAGGTTGGAGGCCATCGCTATTAGGTTGGAGGCCATCGCTTCTAGGTTGGAGGCCGTTGCGTGTTTGTTTCGCACCCAACCTTAATTATGACGCATTTTGACACTGGTTTGCAGGGAAAGGATGGATATCGGCCAATCCACGTGGAAGAAGTCGTGTGGAAGAGTTCCGCAAGCCAAAGCATTGAGGATGGATAAATAGAATCTCAATGATATATGCCAACACAAAGGGATATTTTCTTGAGTAGTTACCGTCTGGAGATGTCTGGAGTTTGTGGCTTATGTTTTGAGAATTCTCATGTGATACAGTGGTACATGATTTCTTCTATGAATAACCACATGTTCTTTTCACCTGTGACCTGCTACAGGCCTGCCAGGCCTGCCCTGTAAAAAACACTGGACCCATGTCGACAACCGACATGTGCTCTTTCAGCAGATCCAAACTGCATCTGCTGAGTCTCTGCTGGTATCCAACAGATATTTGCTTTCTGAGTTTGCTGGCATTTGCAGGTGCTGTGTGCTCCCACGCAGCCTTCGGTGGGATTTGCCACGGCATTGCGTCAGGACCACGCTGCCCTTTCGGGCCCTTCGGTGTGGTGAAATGGGCCGTTTCATGCGGCGGCGAAGTGATGTTGATCTTGGGGTCTTTGACCCAAAAAAAACATAGGGGAACAGCAACAGCTTGGGGTTTTTGAGTAATCTTTTGCAACAGCTTGGAGCGTGAACATTTGGCACTGAAACTGACAGCTGGTGCAGGATTTCTATCCCAAGGAGGACAAAGGCATCCCTGCGCCACTTGGAATGCCACTGGTTCGAGCTCCCTTGTTGCCTCCCTTCGTGTGTATTCCCACACTGCTTGGTACTTTCAGCCAAACTATCACGTTTACAACTGAGTTCTTTGGAGTGGTTTGGGGTGACTGACACAATCGACTGGTGGGCTTAGCAACTTGTTGCACCCCTAAAGCAAACGTTGGCTGCACCACCACGGGTGCAAAGGGGTTTTGAAATTGAACCAAGAGCATTCACTTGTGCCCTCAACACCCGATCTCCCCTCAAGACTGTGCCCCCCTATGCTAGAGTCTCAATCCGAGCTTGTTGATAGTGCTTGGGCTAACTTATACTCTTGTCACTGGGGTCGCACAGTCTTGCTAGGTCCGTTGGAAGTTTGAGTGTCCTGGTAAGCTTAAGATGCCTTCGAAGGTCCTCTCGTGTCGCACCGGACTCTGGTTCAGAAGTCCTCAGCTGATCCTTTGCACCTACCTCGCATGATACGAAAGATATACTCAAGATCCTTGTCGACCAAGGCCAGGAACCTATGTCACCAAACCCATGCCCGTGGGTAGTGCCTCGAGCTGAGAGTCTTGAAGCCTTCAGAAGCATAGCAAGCCGGCTTTTGGAGCCTTCGTGAGCATCATGTCTCCAAACAGACTAGATCTTGACTGCCGCATAGCATAGCCACATGCTGTGACATAGCCTAGCTGGTCTAGAGTCTAGAGTCTAGACGATCATGCACAAAATCATGGAGTGAAATATGTGTCCTGCATCTGCAGTGGCCAATAGCTGCGTATCCGATGGATGCACACGGTGCCCAACTGCACCAGTGATCCAGGAAAATTTGGCCTTCTCCATGTCGGGCAAGTGGAGGCCCGACCACGCGACCAAAGTGCGAAAAGAGTTCATTGTCTTACTGGTGCAAGCAATGTTGCTTCAAAGGGTGATTCTTCAACCCTTGTATCACTGTATTGGGTACCGCAAAAGACCGCAGTCTTTCCATAAAAAGTGCTGTGGGACTTAACTGGGATTCAGAAGGGATTCTATATAGGAATTTGTGTGGTATTCACAGACTTTGCCTGTGTTGGATCATTGATGTAGCCTCTGAGAGGAGATGCAGAGTGAAGACTGGTGGAGTCATTGGATATCTCACCTTTTCCAGCAATGAATGGGTTATCAGAGAGATTCCCAGCACCCTCCAACTCGCTCCGAAGCGGAAGACTGTCCCATCCCCTCCGACCGGCCACCGGCGGGTTCCGGCCACCGGTGTTCCCGCGTGCGGCACCGGCCACGGGCCGAGCCTGGAGGAAGAACGACCTCACGGCACACCTGTATGCAGGGTGGGAGGGCCCAGAGCCAGGTGGAGCAGACGCCGCGCGAAACCGGCCACAGGTTGGCCACTGAAATCGAACGAAACCATCGAAACCGCCCACCTGCACCTCTGAACAGGATCCAAAAGAACACCTCACCTGGAAGGAGATGGGTCTGGAGAAAATAGTAGGTTGGAGGCCATCGCTAGGTTCATGGTGATTGATTTTCTATGTGTTTCTTCTTTCAACCCAAACAGCGCTTGTCCTTCAGCGGACATGGTGATTTCCGAGGCCCGGCCCTGGCTTTTACAATCACGGCAGCAGCTTTGGATATCGCAGCACTTGGCAGCCCAAGCCACCGAAGCCACCACCCATCATTGCACCTCCACCCATGAAGCCGCAGAGCGAGTCAGTCGGGGAGGCAATGGAAGTGGTGAAGGCAGCATGAGATGCAGCACTCTGGCATGTGAGCGAATCTTTCTGTCTGGTATATAGCAGTTCTTATTTGCTGCTATCAGCCAGTGAAGCCGTGAAGCCTTGAGACATGTTTGGTAAGCTTATAAATACGAGCCATGCAGTTTGCTTGCATGCTTGGACAGATCAGACAAGCCCAAGAAAGCAACGAAATCTGACTGACCCAGAGAGAAGCTAGACTGCGATCCAAGTTCATCGCAGTACTCAGAATCAGCGTTAATGATTGCTCCACACCTCAAAATGAGATGCGAAAGGAGTTCTTCAGTTTCACGGAGTGTTGGCTGAATGAAGTCTGGAATGAGCTACTCGACTGGATGCTGATGCGACACTGTAAGTGGGACAAGACACCAGACTCACTGACTGCTTCTATTTAGCGAGCATCTAAAGAAAGAGATTCACACCTGGGTACGTGCGGTGTTTAATTTATTTTTGAAGGCACCATACAGTCGGTTGTTGGTTTCAAGGTGCCCTTCTTATGACCGTGGGCCAGTTGCATTTGGAAGCCCTGTTCTTCTCCTTCGTTGCAAGGGCTTTGTTCTCTTTATTATGGAGTGACAAAGATTCCTTTTACCAGGGCCTTGCAGGGCGATTGGTAAGGAATTTGCGAAGAAGTTCTAAACCCGTCGAAATAAAGCCTGTGACTTGGTGCACTAAAAGTTGAATTCAATCGCGGCGGTGTCTCCAAAACATCACTCTTCAAAGAATCAATTCTGCTAGCTGCTAGCTAACATCCATTTGTCCCACAGCTCCAGAAGACAACCGCTACTCACTAGCTGCTCATTTGCCATCTCTCCAGCTCCAGTGCCTTGGAAGAGGCCTTGGTCAGAAAAAGGACACTGCCATCCTGATCAGGGCCTGCCTGTCACCAGTCGTCATCAGGGGCCAGAGGGCATCATTTCTCCAAAAGTTGAGCGGGGTGTTTGTGTTTAATTGTTTGTGCTTCTAGAGCCTCAGAACTAGCAAAAAAAGGTCAAAAAGAAAGCATCTGAAAAAAGAAAATACATAACAAAACATAACAAAACAAATCAGCCGCATTCATTGCACATTGATACCCAGATATTCTGAGACCTTCTCTTTTTTGTGACTTTTTGAATGAGCATGTGACATACGCTGAGAGCGACCTCCTCGGAGATCTTGCCCAAAGAGGGGAGACCTTCTTTTTTTAAAGCGCTTGTGTCTACGTCTCAGACTTGACATTCCCTATGGATCCACTGCCACCTTCTCAGAAGGCAACTGGACCCTCCTGGTGCCGTCTCCAATCAGTGTCTCCAATCACCGTACCTCAGAAGGTGGCAGTGGATCGATAGGGATTCACAGGCTCAGTGGAGAACCGGTTTCTCAAGTTCACCAGCGGACCGATGCGGCCGAAGTCGCCGCGGCAGCCGACCTCGTGGGCTCCTCATGCTGTCCAGGTCAGCTTAGGTATGCCATCGAAAGAATCCGACCAATCAAGCCGGGGCAAGACTGGCGAGGACCTTTATGACAAGGTGCTTTTGTTTTGCAGGACCAGTTGTTGATTGCTCTGAGCACCAATAAACTTGGGGTTTCCACATAGTTTGAATCTTTATATATTTGTGCATTTTTTGGATGACTTGACGTTGGACAGCCGTGGTTTGCCACTCCGACAGGCTGTCATTTCCGCTGCTCATCAAACAACTAGGAAAAGGGGTCCAATAGAGGGGACAGAGTAGGGGACATCGTGCGAATCATGACTCAATCCACAATCCCAGAATCGCCCAGAATTCAGTTTGAAGCCATCTTCAGTTCACTTTCCAGGAAGCGGAACCCCAATGTGCTTTGTGACAACGAAGAGACCCGAAAAGCACACGCAACCAGACATGACAGAAAGCAGCTCTTTTCCTGAGACATGTTGCAACTGTTGAGACTCCATGCATTTGTCATTTGTCGCTAGATGATAAGCTAATTATATAATATACACATATATTATTTGCGAATGGAAGTGCAGCGACACGTACAGTGCAACTTGTACATATATATGTACCATATGTACTTTGGCTCAAGGATCAAGCGACTAGAAAAGGTGCGGTTTCCGTTCCGACGCTACGCCGCTTATGGACCGTCAGTGATAGCTTCAAACTTCGCTGATTAAGATCCACTCGCAGGTTATCAGCCGTACGCGCTCTTTATAGCCGTACGAGCTACACGAGACCAAGAACAAGACTAGTCATTACAGAAACCTGCAATGTCAAGCTCAGGAGGAAATGGAAGCGAACCCTATTCATTCGCTGCTCCTGGTGGTCCCAACACCATTTCGTCACCAGACTCTACAATGGGTACTGATTCATCAGCAAATGCTGACGTTATCACTATGCCTACTGGATCACAAATCTCGGAAAGATCCGTGCCACCGGCTCGGAATCTGACCGACCTTGCACCCGTAGGACCAAGAAGATCGATGAGAGCTACAACAAGATCTACATCGCCTATAACGTCTACCGCGAGATCCCCAAGAAGGAGTATAGAGAAGAGACGTGACGATGATAGAGGAACAAAAGAGCAAAGAAGAGAGATTCAGCTGGGTGAAGAATTGAGATCGGCGAGAAACGCATACAATTTTCTTCATGAAGAATATGAATGCATCCAAGCCGGATACTCACGACTACACCACGAGGCTGAAGTGGAGTTCAGGCAAATGTCTGACTACAACAGGAAGATGCAGGAACATCTACAAGAGATGACACAGGAAGATGAAGGAGCGACAATAAGAATTGAAGAGCTCGAACACAAACTACGCTTGGCGGAATCGACAGCTGAACATATCTACATGAGATATCAAGAGCTTGCACAAGAAACTCATCAAGAACATTCAGAGCTTGAATCTGTGAAAGCAACGAAGGACAGAATGTCCCAAGAGCTTCAAGCAGCAATTGGACACATCCAAGAACAGAATGAATCTTCATTGGCGATCAATAGAAGATCAAAAGCCATTCAGGATGAGAACACAGCCTTCGTCGGAATAGCTGACCAGATACAAGCTAGAATGATTGCACTACAGGATGAGAATGTCAACATGCACGAGGTGATCCAACACCAGAGAGAAGAACAATGGAACAGTGAGGTCAGGGAAAGACGTCTTCAACACAGTGTTCACTCATCTCAAGATCAGAGCAATCAGGAAGCTATGGTTATTGATCATCTACGAGGTCAACTAGCTATGGCACGTGGAGCTGAACTCAACGCGAGAGCGGAGATAGAAGAGATGGAAGTGGGCATGAGGATGGAGATGTTTGTATGCCAGACTGAAGTCTCTGCTAAAGAAATGGCAGAAATGAAGGTGAGCCACCATGAATACGAAGCAAACGTCGCAAAGGAGGTTATCGCAAAAGGAGAAATATTCAACAACGAAGTCCTAGAACGTTCCATCCGTGAACGACAACAGTTGAAAGACGCCAACCTCGCTCTATCCGAAGCCAACGCACAGCTGAAAAGAGAGAATATGATGAGAGCTCCTATGTTCGGCGATGATGGTGCTGAAATTCAACAGAAGATCAGAGAACTGGAGAATGCGCTATTGGAAAGCCAGAAGGAGACAAAGAATGTCATTATGGAAAATGCGAAATTAAAAGCAGAAGCACGAATGGCACCCATAGTCTCTCGGTACAGCAAGCGTCCTAGTTCCAGAGACCGCGGGTTACCAACCCACGCGTCCGAGGAAGATGAGATTCGGAACGCAAAAGAGGAGGCGAAGCACTACAAGGACGGGTACAAGGAAATGACAGAGAGCCGAGATGAGATGTATGAATGGTATGCTGAAACCCACAATGAGTACGCCGAGGAAAGGGAGAAATCAATTGAGCTATCCGAGGCGAACAAATCATTGAGGGACAAGATTTCAGAAGCAGAAGCATCCTCTTCATCTCATCTTGCACCGGCAACCTCTACAATCATGAAAGTATCGAGGAAGGAGGAATCAAAGATAAACGTTCCGTCATGGCCCAGGATCAATGATCTTGGACTATGGAAGGCAAATCTCATTCAATCGATCATCATTGCGGCCAATGATTCAGATCAAGAGCCCTGGATCGACTGGATCAAAGAAGCCATGGACGACCCTGATCCGGACAAGTTTGTCGACTCAGGAGACCAAAGATTCCATTCAATCGATGCCAAACTCGGCCTAGCTCTTACCAAGGTCGTCATGGATGCGAAAGATGATGGTTCAGGTGTAGCTATGAAGTTGAGGACGAGGATCAATGCAAAAGGGAGAACATCAAGCCTCATAAAGGGAAGAGAGGTCCTAGCCCTGATCCTTATGAATTTCAAGACAACATCAAATGTGGAAGTCTTATATACTTCAATGCACCTCTACCAACTAGAATATCAAGGAGACAAGAACTTATCGTTGTTCTTCCACACTTGGGATGAGATTCTGGCAGGAATGAAGCCCGTTGACGTCCCGAGCGACGAAACTCTTCGGGATCTCCTATGGAGAAAGATCAGGAACTCAAACCTCATGGCATACGACATCAGCGCCTACAACAGCATGAACGACGATGATGCCAAGAAGACATACAAACATCTACGTGATATGATCAGAAGGCACATCGAACGGCAAACTGAAGACAGGATGATCCTGGAAAAGGAGAAGGCAGTGAAGAATGTGGCCAATATCTTTCAGAATCTCAAACCAGGCGGACCTGCTCCAAAACTGAAAGCTGCACCAGCTGATCCGAAGAAGAAACCAAAAGGGCAACAAGAACAGGTTGTCTCAGAAGACGCTGCTGCAGTGAAGCCGAAACCCAATCCCAAGAAGCATCCTGAAGACAAGAACAAAAAGGGAAAGGGGAAAGGTAAAGGTGATGGAAAGGATCGCAGCCGAAGTCCGAGTACAGACAAGAAGAAGATACCATGCAAATACTTCGTGAAAGGTAACTGCACTATGGGGAAAGATTGCCCATTCAGTCACAAGAAACCCAGATCACCATCCAGAGGATCTTCTGTCGGAAAGAATGACAAACCAGTATGTTGGATGTGGATTCGAGGAACTTGTGACAAAGGGAAGGATTGCAAGTTCTACCATGACCCAAAAGCCTCTCCTAAGAAAGGGATATCTGCACCAGCTGACTCAGGAGACGATAGGCCAAAGCCCAAGGCAAAACCCAAACCGAAGCCTAAGGCGAAGCCTGGAGCCCCAGCCATTGACGGTGAACTCTTCATGGACGAATCCGAAGATGAAGGGATTGCTGCATCCGCCAAGGCAAGAGAAGGAGGTGCAAAAGTATCCTTTGATGAAGAGACTTGTGAGATCATGTTGAACGAAGCGATCTACTCAGTCAGGGACAAATGGAAGGTAGTAGAAAGGAAACCTCTACGTCCGG